CGCGATAGGTGTGACAGTTATTTATGATTTAATTGATAATATTTTTAGGTCATTAACTTTATTTAAAAGTTGTTACAATTTTTAAAACAATTTAAAAAAAAAAAAAAAGTTAGCCGAAGGTAGAAACGAACATAGATCGTCCGCGTGGCAAACGAGTTCGCTACAGGCTCAGCCATTTCGCAGTGCTGCTATAGTGTAAAATCGATCGGTATATGAGCTGCACTTAAAACTCTAGAGCCTTTTTTCTCGGAATCTTGTTGCTAGTGCGCTTTACAATTCTTCTGGATGGACACCCTTGAGGTATACTACTAACCTGCAAAGTCTCATCCCGAACTGAATTTCCGAGACCGTAAGGTCCCCTTGTAAGCAGGAACTGAACTGGTAAAACATAAATATAAATTACAGACTTACTAACACGCTCTGAAACACTAGCACGGGATAGAGGAGCTTAAATAATCAAAATCGAGTGATTTTAATTCACTTTACTTTTCTATTTCTCTGTTCTTTTAAGAAGGCTGACTCGACTCTAGTATTTGAAAACTTTTGAATGCCCTACCCCAATTCCATCTCATATCCCTCAGAGCAGCGTTTGACACCCGTTCTATCCGGATCAACCGCCATTCTTCACTCATTAGAATAGAATGAATAAAGTCGTATTAAACCATTCATGAAACTAATTGATATAAAATTTAAAACTCTGTCCTTCTTTATTTAAATAAATTAAATATAAAAGAATTTCGTTCGTGAATTTTTCTAATGCTATTATCATTAATCCCTTAAATTATTATTATTTAAGATGATGATACGTCATCGTTACTCGCCACACAAATTACAGTAAGAACATTGAGAGAAACGTGAAAAGAGTTAATTACACGGCTCTTCGCTTGCCTTTCGTCTTTTCTCGACGAATGACAACCCAGAACTCACCACGTGGAGGTGGCCGTGTGAGAGTTCCATCTAGAATTAGAATGCGTGTAACTCTGCACATGAACTTCACGTATAGAGTTTCACCCACCCTAATCCACACACTCGGAATGTTTATTAGGCCTACTCTTATAATACAAAACTCAAAAACTGCAATCTTCTCACTTTGATCCATAGGTCTAGCCAATTTATAGTGGGGCGTAATCTAATTTACAGTCAAAAGTACTGAATATATCCACAACCTTATTCATCTATAAAAGTCTACTAATCCACTCTTATAAAATTATGCTGCAAAACGTAGTTATATATATTCGTTACCTAAAAACCCGAAAGAAACTTTGATGATCGGTGGTCCGATATCTAAGTGTTCTACCGTCCGCTGTGTGACATTCTCACTACATTGTACAACTGCAATGAGGTGAGAATGTCAAACAGAGAAGACAAACCACGAAGCGGGAGACCACTGTATGATTTCCTGCTGCGTGATTTGTCTTCAATGCTGGTTTGTCCTTCGTTAAACTTTTTCATCGATCTGTTATATTGCTCGGTAAACATTCTGTAGTCTTCTGTGGATGTCCGACAACCTGCACCTTTCCTTCAAGAACTGGATGACGGCACGTTGCTTCTGCTCGGAATCTATTATTTACCTGCAATGAAGAGGGATTACTGTAGAGGGAGTATTACTCTACTAACGTGTATCTAGAACGACTTATGTCAATTAATAAAAAGGTTACTTTTGGTACAGCTTTCGTATTTCCATGGATATTTCAAATAATTTTGCATTACGACAACCCAAATTATTTGAGATCGGAAAAAAAATGATGCTGCAATCGAATTGTTGTCTATAGCCTGTACACAATTTATCAGCGACTGTGCAGAATGAATGTCCTACTTTCAGACGGGAGATCCTGTAATAAATTCGAAAAGTAGAATTAATGAGTGAATGGTGTAAATCACAGAAGTTTAAGTTCTATTTTTAAATTGAATCTTCCGGCGAATCCAAAAAGTAGAGTCATCGCATGATTGGCGAGAAATGCTGCTCCAATTCAATACATATGTTTGTTTTCTTGTATATAATTTGAAGAACGTGTGACTTTATCGACGAGGAGAAAACTCTGAGGATGGCTTAGAGACGAATGGTGGACAGTGAGTTAAGGTACAGCAAAAGCGTTATTTTCTTCCAACCTATCCTAATCTTTTTAATTTGATTGCCTTCATTCATCTTCGATCATGTAATGCCGTAATCCCATTGCCTTTCGCAGAATTCAACAAAACTAATTAATGAATAACTTAATATTTAAATTAATTTATTAAATTGATAAAAATATTCGAAATATAATTGCAAATTACCTTTACGATTTCAATCTTCCGATATTTTCAGATAGAACGATCTCATTGTTAATCGATTTTTATTAAATAATAATGATAAAACACATTATTATTCATTGTTTGAAATATATACAACGAAGAACTATTATTATGTATTTTTTAAAATTTAATTAATTAATTAAATTTTAAGTGGAATAAATTTGTATTTGGCACCCGGGCAAATATAAATCCTGATTGCATTGCACAAATGGTTCTAGATAATACTTAGGAATTACACTACCAAGATGAGTGATGCATCCCGTGTACAATATCACTTTCGAAATCCCCCTTTCGACCATACATACACGAACACAACATCACTGTAACACGAAGATATACAGCGTTTAACCTTTACTTCAATTCTCGCAATCATTCAGGTACACGTCAAGCGCCTCGTTCTTTATATTCGACAAAATGAAACAACTCGAACACTCGCTTCCCACAAATCCAACCTCTGGGTCCTCCTCTCGGGAAGTGGAAACGCCAATTTTAAAAATTAAAACGCTTTAAAGGGGGCTCTGGTAATCATAACTTGCATGGATTAAATGGTAATTTTTTTGTTTTATTTATTGAGGGCACAAAGAAAGGGTTGTTTTAATCTCACCCATCCTTGTTGTCTGAAGATCCATTATGAGGACTGCCGGACTGTATGGGTCTGGACTTGAGAATTGACACATCAGGTACAGTAATTTTCATGAATCTTCCTCCATTAAACTGTACACGCGATTGAAGAGTTCGGATGTACTTTGAAGTACAAGCACTTTTCTTTCTTTCTTTTCTAATCATTTCCAAGATGGATGTTAGGTAATTAGGTAGAGCAACCTATCATTAAGGGTAACTCGCAAAGTGCGTTTCTCTGAGTTACCATTCTTTTATGACACAACAAATCAGAAAAACTTAAAAAATATCTTTAATTTTGTACACCCGAACCCTACAATTAACGGACAGCCTTTTATATTTAAGTTAGGAAACAATTTCTTGACTTAATTCAATGAAATCTGCGTGGCCATTTTCAGCAGCGGCCGCCAACGAAGAAAAGTCGACGTCATTGGCCTTAAAAAGTAAATAACGACCCCTGCGGATGATTACCATCTTAACGTCATTTTTCTACTGAAAATTATTTCACATGAAAACTTATTTTTAATATTAAGCAATGCTTATCGTAAAATAATCAACAGATCATTTCCTTATTATGAATCATTTTCCTGAATTATCAGTTTTAAATCTTTCATATTTCCACTAATTTTATTTTGTCAGAAATAAAACATGTAATCCTCTTACATAAAATAATACAGTAGAACCTCTATTATCCGGACTAATTGGGGATGAAGGTAGTCCGGATAAGGAAAAATCCGGATAATCGAAACAAATACTTTAATTTGTCTTTTAAAGATAATACAACACGTTTTCTTTTCGATGACATATCGGTAATATTAAAAGTAAATACTGTATNTTCGGCATTAAATAACATAGAAAAAATAGTCTGAGGAAATACAGTGAGACATTGAAGTGAAAAGAAAGAAAAAAACAACTTAAATGAGAACTTTTTCTATCATTATGTTAACAACTTTCAAGGAGTTGTTGACAGTAATTGATAATAGAAATAATAAGTTAATAAACTATGAGAAGTGAAAATCTAACCTGAATCTGAGAATGCTATTTGTGATGAGAATGAATATTTAGTATTATTAAATTTTGTATTGTTGTTTGAATATTTAAAAGATAATTTTTCATCAAGTATGCAATAAATTAAAATTATTATGTAATCATTATTTTTTTAGGTAAAATTTAAGTGAATAAGTTAGTGTGTGAATAAACATTGGAAAAAATGAAGAAAATCAACTCTTTCAATGTTATAAAAAGTTTAATTGAACAAAATTCACATAAGTACTTTTGACAGTATATTTCTCAGGCAAGAAAGTTTTGACATAGAACACAAAAGATTTGAAACTACTTTGAATCTCCAAGAGATGGAATGCATGTTACGAATTTAAAAGAATAACATATATTTTTTAACATTCTTTTAAATGTTTAGAACAGAATAAGAACAACTTTTTAGATTTTAAATATATTAAATTTCTAATATAAGTCTTAAAACTATAAATTGTTAGTATTTCTAAAAACTTTTAATGATGATCTTAGAGAGTGAAACATAAATTTAAATTTTAATTTCTTTAATTGCAAATTAATAAAATTTCGTTGCTAATTTTAATATTATAATTTACAAAACGAAAGTTCGTTGAGTGGGGAAGTAGTCCTATATATATATATACGATCGTCTGGCACGGCGGAAGGATACTCAATCCGCACTAATTTACGAAAAATTAAAAATAAAAAAAAATACGTACAAAATTTGCAGATTTAATCTTAATCACGTAATTTTTATACGAAATAAGTAAAATAAATCAGGGATTTAACCGGAGTAGGCTTTAAAATAAATTAAATATCGGCGATTTATGTCGCGTATCGCGGAGTTACCATAGCAACAGTGGGTGTGAAGTTGTCAGGAAGAAGAATTCATTACAAGATGGAATACGCTATAGGTCGGGTGTTGTTTACGTGTGTTAAAATGACATTTTGATGGTAAAATATCGTAGTTATTTAATCCGTCTTAAGTTTAAACAATTCTAAATGACATAAATATCAATCATGGGCAATTGCTGTCACCGTGGAAGCAAGAAAAACGTCCATAAAGGTCGCGATTTGGTCGGTCCCGTCGACCGAGTGATCGACAACGAACCCGTCACTATCAATTCGTTATTGCAGACTCACGAGCACCCCAATCTTCGATTTCCGGATCCGATATTCGGTAGGAATGGACCAAATTTACCTCCAGTTCCGTCTGATACGGATTCGAGTTCCGGAGTCTGTATGAAAGTGTTTGTGGCCCTCTACGATTACGATGCAAGGACCGACGAGGATCTGAGTTTTAAGAAAGGTGAACACTTGGAGATATTAAACGATACTCAGGGAGATTGGTGGTTCGCTAGGTCCAAGTCTACCAAGCATGAAGGGTATATTCCGTCGAATTACGTGGCTAAACTCAAATCTATCGAAGCTGAATCGTAAGTCTGTTTGTCTGTTTGTGTGTTTTTTTTTTATATCCGTTACTTCATTATAATGTGTTACGCTGATTTATACTCTGATGCATCTTATGGGAGAGAGTAATTTTTTGCACTCGTCTAATTAAGATGCATCGTTTTAATTTAAAAATAAATTCAAATTTTCATCTATTAAGTGTGCAATGACACAATATTGCACATGCCAAAAAAACTCACTAGGTTACAAATTCTCTTTAATAACAAAATGATGTAAATATAATGCCGTAATGTTTTAAGCGCCAAAAGATATGTTATGGCTTGCGCGTGAATTCAACTTTGAAATACGGTTCTGCCGATGCCACGATATTCTTTTTTGTGGCAGAAAGAGTTGCATTTAGAATTTGTTTCTTCAATAAAATGAATTTAGAGAAATATGGCATTTACAATGTTACGGCATTGTACGCTTCATATTTTGATGATTAAGGGGGAATATCTAATATTATTTTGCGTTTGAGTTAAGTATATATGTTTAAAGTGCATATCGAGTAATAGTTACATTAATTTAGACCTTGTTTACTGTCAGAATGGCATTTTTGTAAATATAATGGCCATTTATAATGCATTCGATGCTTATGGTGCTTAATACGGTGTTAAAAAGTCGTAATTCATTATCAAAAAGAAAAATGTGTAGTAATATTTTTAAATTTATAATATTCCGTTACAGTTACATAATTGTAATGTCAAACAATTATACTGTGATGCATCTTATGGGAGAAATTCTAAAGAGAAATATTACGTCATTTTAATTTAAAAATCAATTCATATTTTCATATATTTGATGATTCAGGTTGGGAAATTTAATATTGATTTGTATTTGAGATAAATATATATGCTTAAAATACATATCAAGTAGTTATTTTATTTTAGACCTTATTTGCTGTCAGAATGTTGTTTTTGTAAATAAAATGGCCATTTATAATGCATCCAACAGCAAATAATGCTTAATACAGTGTTAAAAAGTCATAATTCATTATATAAAATATAAAAATAATGCTTAAAAATATGTGACAAAGTCCACTTCTTAATTTATTCTTAACTTTATTGATTATATACTATATATAAATCATATAAAGGAATGTTAATATGAATAAAAGCAATTTTTAATTCCAAACAAATTACAAAGTTACTTGTGTAAATTGGCTCTCCTTTGGTTCAGTTTTTCTAATTATAATACTAAAGTGGGTGGACAAATTATGAGATGAATGTTCATATTTAATTTAGATTATCGTAAGACTTTCATTATCTAAATTATCTTTAATTTTTGTCTAAATGCTTTTAAAAAAGTGGTTTTCGTTCAAATTGATATCCTCTTGTTTTTGATAGATTAATGTGTTGATAAATGATAAAAATGAAATGGATTTATTTATCGATAATGTAAACAGACCTTTTAAATTCTCATACTGTAGATCAGTAATACAATCTCCTTCGTGTATATGAAGTATAATAACTAAAATGAGAGTGTTTTGTGTTGTTCGAAAATTAATTTTGTACAGAACTATTGTACAAGAACTTTTGTACAATTTGCATAGCAACTATATGAAAATTATTTTATTACATAAATTTGTTTTTGAACTTCTGAATTCAGCTCTATTTTATAAAATAAGAAACACAAATTATGATTTAATAAAATTATTTGATATTTACAAGAATGATTAGAAAAACAAAATACATTTTTAGTTAATGAAGAAATTCAAATATTAAATTTTATTTATTTTTTTATCTCAATATTTCAAGTTGGTATATTATAGAAATGTTATGAATTTATTTGAATAATTTGAGATTTTTATAGATGTATTTTTTCATATCAATAAGTGTGAATAATAACTCTATTGATTCACTCTTGTCATATAAGAAATTGCACACACAACCTTTGTTTAAGAACACTCTAGATAAATTAATTCTAATCTTAATTTGAACTTGAACATTTTTAAAACAAAGCATCTCTGTAAATTCTAAAATAGATTTGCATGCATACATGTTCTTTGTAAATAATCTTATGTTTAAAATACAAAATGATTTTATTAAAATTAGTGGTTAAGATTAAATGCATTTTTTTGCAAGTGTAAACAGATTCTTTGTTTAATTATTAATTTATATTGAGGTATTTACGACATCTAAGATCGATGCTATACATCCATGGTTGGCAAACTGTGGCTCAAAAGCTGCAAGCAATTGTTCTAGCTCCTCACTGTAGCTCCCATATAGTCTATTTACATAACTTTTTATAAACTTAAACTTTATGTATATAATACTGTTCTAATAGAGAATGCAAATCTTGCATATTTTTGATAAGTGATATATGGCTCCTATTGGAACAAGGTTGGCTACACCTGCTATATATAGTATGTTCGTGCACATATGAATGTGTGTTCAGTTCTTTTATATCATTTTTTTACATGTAAAATGTTCAAATCAAATTTTTAATTTACATTATCATTAAAATGCTGCATCATCATTTGTATGCCATTCAATGCAGTTTTGTTTTTCAGTTTTCATTTTTTAATTGAGAATTAATGAAATCCATTTAATATGACTTTTCAGTTAAGTTTTATACTTTCTACTTGTTAAAAATTCCTGAAGTGAAAAATCTAATTCAAATTACTTTTCTCAGAGAAAAATTTTGTAGAAATTTCAAGTACTTTAGGTAATATTCCAATCTTTGGGGGATAGAAAGTAAAAGAGAAAATATATTTTTTTCTCTCACTTTCAAAGAATCAAACTCAAAGAATTACTTCCAAAATCTCTCAGTGAAGTGTATAACTTAATTTAAATCAATTTAAATTGTTTTATACTTCATTGAATTATCATAATTAAACAAAGTAAAAACTTTTTGTATCTTTTTCTTATTTTTGCAGTTTTTTTTATTACATCTTCAAAATTTATAGTATACAAAATCATATATTGAGATCTTGCACATTGCACACTTCTGCAGAAGGAAGAAAGATTCTCAAAACATAAATGAAAAGTGAGTCTTAACTTTATAAAATATGAATGTTAATTAAGGTTGATGCTGTGATTACAATGTGTTCAATGTTTTCAAATTGTAATATTATCTTATTTTCTATAGAAAAATCTGATATACACCACAAAATTAATTTAAAAGTTTGATAATGGATTATAAAAAAGTAGAGGAAAATGTCTAATCCAGTTCAAAATATAATCCCAGTTATTAAAGAAAAATAAAGACAGCTGCTAAATAATGGGCATGTTGCCTAGTAAGATGGCTATAATACAGCTAGATAAGTCAGCCAATGACATAGTCTGTTTCAAATGAAACATGCTATATCATTGGCTTGCTTATCGAGCTACATTAAAACAACATACTAGACAACACACCCAATAATTCAGATAGCTGATCTTTTGAGAAACCAACTCCAGGTTCTATCATCTGAGATTAACCAATGGCAACATTGGTTAAAGCATCATATATTTGATATTTCTTAATTGAATTAGACAATTAGAGTTTTTAGATCGGTTTCACAAAAATTAATGATTATAATCTATTACATTTTTCTATCTTCAAAATGTCTTACAAATAGAAAATAAGTATATTGATCGAAAAAACTTTTAGATTTTTCTGATTGTCTAGCAGATATAAATGAGAGATTTAAGAATTTTAGAAATGAATCAAAATTGAAAGTTTATAGTAACAATTCAAAATCACAATAATAATTTATCATATTCATTCTTGGTATTATTAATACTTTCTGATCAATATTCATTCTCAAACAAATTGATTTATATGATTTAATTTAATCTACTGAAGACTGTTTTTACAAGAATTAATTCAAAGTTTAAGTACTTGCATAAAATTTTCAAGAATTTATCAATTTTAAACTTGATCAAATGATTGAATTTTCAAATTTACAGGTGTTAACATGATCTAGCATTACCTTGCTTTTTATGCAACTCATCTTCATTTTGAAAATTTATTCTTTTTCTAATTAATTAAAACTGTTAGTCACACTTTACCACCTAAATAAATAAAAAATATTAAAGATATATTATCTGTTACACTGATTGCTGTATTAACCACTCATAAGTAGTTAGAATTCTTCTTCAGATATAAATTTATTCACTCAATAAAAATAGGAGCTATAAATTTAAAACAGTTAATAAATTCTATTGATTTTTGTTTGAAATATTTACATTTACATTTAGTTACACAAAATATAAAACTTGGGATATATAAGATTATAGTAATGCAATGCTTTGATTAAAAATAGTAAAATTTTCAAATACAAAAATTACTATGTTGAATTTGTAACTTTATATATTTAAAAACTACATGACCAGTTATAATAATTGAATATTCAGAGTCATAATATTCTGATGGTGAAACAAGAGTAATAATCTGTATATAAATAGAGGAAGAGGATGTTGTGATGGTAATGAACTCTCTTGGCATGTTAAGTGTTATTGGTTTAAATCCTATTTTAATTAAAATTGTTTCTTTGTTAGGGTTTTCTAAAATTATAAATTTAATTATTATATTCGTAACATAAAGCTATATAGCTGATTGTAGTATCAAATTTATGTAATTATTAACTAACTGAAAATTAATTGGAATATGTCATAGACTGATAATGTTGGTAACTGTTGTTATAACATGTTCGTATATAAATTATATAGTAATATAATATAGGCAGTATAATTGTAACCGGATAAATTGAATATTACTTGAATATAAACAGATATATTCTGAACTGTTCATGTCACTTTAACAAATTTTTGCTGACACATTTATTGATGTTCACGTAAAAATTTGTAAAATAATTGATAGTTTGGTTAATAAAAGCAGACATTTACTATTTTATCATTTTCATTATAATTTATTAAAAAAAAGTGGTTCAAATTTTCATTGAAGTGCTTTTATCTCTATTCATATTTTAAGTAAATTTAAATATTACTTTAACAGCAAACTTTTCAATTATGAGAAAAACTTGTTGATAGAAATTGGAAAA